TCCAGGAGGGGTGGCTGGATCCGAAGGGCCTCGATACCGTCGATAAGCAGGGCGCGAATAAGGGGGGTGTTGAACAGAAGGAATAGGATCGGCGATATAGGGGACCCCTGGGGGATACCGGTAGGGGAAGTGCCCATCTTGATCTGCTCCCAGATGATTGTTTAGGTCCAATTCAGAGTAATTTAGGATCCCCTCCATTCCGAGAGCCACAGAACAAAGTATAGCTCCGTCCTTGAGCGTGGGGTTGATGCATCGTTCCTTAACATTTGATGACCTTCATTTGAGAACTCAACGTGAGCTGTTGTGATGAAAGCTGAAGAAGAAACAGTGGGAGTCGAGGAACAAGGGAGAGAATCATACGGCCTTTTAAATACGAATTTAGTCCTATTAAAGCTATAACAGATCTCCAAGCTTAATCTTGCAATCCTTGTTTGGCCTTTTGATCCGTACGGCAGCTCCGCCAGCAACGTCGTGCCAAAGACCTCTATCCATTTAGCTGCCGTTGTGATGATGCTACCGCCTAAGATGAACTTTCTTTCGCTGCATCCAATATTTAAATCAAGATTTATCTTTGCTGTTTGATTGTCTTCCAGAGTAACCAGAAGCACAGTGACAGGGAGCGTAACAAGAGGTCTGACAGGATGGTGTTCGCGTGTACATTCAATCTTTTTCCCCCGGTGGCCGAACACCATTATGAACAAGAGTGAATATCGTATTGCTCTCAACGAGCTTTTTGGAACCAGAGAAGCAAAGGGAGGAGGGGAAATTCAGGGCTTATACGCTGCCACCGCGGGGCATTGCCTCTTGGTCTATCGTAAGTTCGTAACGTTGTAGACGCTGCTGCTTGACCGAGGTGGCAGAGTTGACATGTGTCCGTGTGCAGTGTATCATATTATGCAGGCAATTCAGTACGAGTACTGCCAAGTGGCATGCATAGCTAGGCTCGAACGCTACGTCCCTCCAAACACCCCAGCACGTTAGGTATCCAGGCATAAGCCAAGATACAGCCGGACCCAGCAGGGATCTGTGGGTAAAGGATAGACTTCGGCAGAACCCATGGGTACCCATCTAAAACCCATCGATGGGTTGGGTTTGGGGTCCAACTGTTCGACCCATCATGGGTTATGGGTTTTGTTGATTAATAAGTGATGCTTCGATGTTGGTATTATTGATGAGAGTTGATTGTGTTGTTATTAGATACAGAGAGGCTGGTAGCCAGGTAAACATGTAGGTATGCATGCACGTGCTCCCAGTCCCCGTGATTAGGATATTCAACAGGTTTAAGAGGAAAACCCATAACCCATGGGTACCCATATTAGTGCAAACAAGACAAATAGTGGAGAACTAGTTAACTAGTTATAGCCACTGTTGGTTGGGCCCCAGACTTGACTTGATTATATGAATGCACGAGAAGCTGGTATTGAATTGGAATCTGGTCGAAGGCCAGGTCCGGCGTACTTGTGCCGGTCCGGCCCCAGCGATCGCCGGTCTAGTTGATCGTGGTTCTCACCCCGTGCAGGGACTGCTCATATATCCCTCTCGTTTAATCTAACCAACTACCATAGCTGCCTCCTGTCATCTAACGATGTTGTTTGCCCTATCACTAGCTCTGATTAGTTACCCACAACTATAGCCCTATGTGTGCCCTGCCAGTATCCTAACCTGAGAAAGTTAGGACCAGGAACATATCTGACTGTACTTATTAAATATCATGCTATAGCTCCATGAGGTGAAACATCGCCCCCAACATGTCTGGGCATCGTTAGGATTTATCTAAAGCTGATACCAATTAAGAGATATAGAGGAGCGCGACCGAATGGGCTCTCGATATACATATTTTGTAATATACCCCGTTTAAATCCAATCAATCCCCTCGGTATTTCTTTATCTATTATTACCAGTCAGTCTTTACTTTTTCACGGTCTTTTGAATTTTCTAGTCACTCTTTTCTCTCTTTCGTGTTCGTTATAATGAAACTCTCAAGCCTCTGATGAGGCATGTGGCACTCGGGCTACTGTATCTTATCCTCCTGTCTGCATTCCAATCAGCCTCTGCTTTGCCGAGAAAGAGCAAAGGCATTGGCAGTCATCGTTCTGGCAGTGGTAAAGGCAGCCATGGATTAGGAGGTCTCCTTTCTGGCCACGATGACAAGAAGACCAGTAGCAAAACCGACGATAAGAAGCACGGATTTAGTGGACTCTTCGGCCACGATGACAAGAAGAACAATGGCAAAACCGACGACAAGACGCACGGGCTCGGCGGAATCTTTGGCCATGATGATAAAAAGGTCGGCAAAGGCGACCCACAGAAGCCTGGAAATCGCAAACCCGGTGGCAAGAATGCTGGCAAAGACTCCAAACACGGCAAGGATAGATGCAAAACTTCCAAAGGTGGTTCTTCCCAGGGCCAAAAGCTTTCTCCCCGAGATATCGCAGCCCGAGATCTTGCCATACGCGAAGAAAGCAGCAAGATTGGCCAGGATGGCATGGAAGGTGCCCTTGCGAATACCAAAACGCTTCAGACTATTTACCTCCGAACCCGCATCGGCATTGCTATCACCGGAGATGATAGAATTTACTTGTACTGGCTGTTGCAATGATATCGAAGCTGGAGAAGCAATGGGACCTGATGGGCCCTAAGAAGAACGTGAAAATCTACCTCAGCTCTCTGGATCCTGACCCCTGCAAATCGGACCCCGGCGCCAGAGACCTGATCGAGCAGAATTAAAAAGTCGCGAAGCTTTTTGAGGATAAGTTTAGAACCCTCATTGGTGGTATTATTCATGTGACCCATTGTCCTGCCCGCGATAATCTAACGGGAGATGAGGGGACCATGGAGCGTGACAGAAGGGGCAAAGTGTTTGTGGAAGGCCGCCAAGTGAATTAATAGATGCCGAATTTGGGTGTAACTGTAATGCCATAGCCGGAATACGGGAAACAGGATCGGGATAGAGGCATGATGCAGTAGAATTCTGACGAGTATTCGTACATCATCTTGCTGTTGTGTGGCGTTTGTGTTGCTTTGATATAGATATTATTATATGTATGAATGAATACAAATTCGGGAGAAAAACATGCTTTCGTCTACTTTTTATTTTCGGGTCTGACCAGCTTGGTAGAATTTCTAAATCTGAGGGTAGATAATGGGTATCAGCCTAGTTCATATGTGATTGTATGTAACGATGCTCCAAACCAACTATATAAAGACCAGCAAGATATCGAACTTGGGGGGCCAGTAGTGGCAGACAACGCTCAGTGATGTTAATAATTCATTACTGTTAGGTGTCCTCTTCAAGAATCGTTAATATTTGGTTATTAGTAAGTATTTCTTTGCGCGCAATCATTCCTTGAAGTCGTTGGTTTTAGTACAAGGCCCCATTCTCACAACTAAGGTAAGACCCTAGCTTCTGTTAGGTCGCACCCTTGGGTCTGGGGCTGCTGAGCCAGGGCATGCCTTCTGTGATCCGAGATGCATATTTCAGCCTCGCGATCAGGCCAATTTGGCAACTCATACAGGTGCGGATCAATCCGAAGCCCCCTAGTGACTACAGAACGCGGTAGGAGAAACCATGCAGGCACAGTCAGATTCATTATTAGAGCAAGATCATTTCCCTCCTCGAAATTCTTCTTGTAGTGGATAGACTAAGGAACCTGATCACCTGCACGACTTACGATTAACTTACTGACGACCTTCTTCAAAGTCCGCCACGGGATTATTACGTATTGGTCCAGTTGAGGGGCCTGCATATGTACCCCTCTCGGCATTTAGGGGCAGATCCGGATGGTCAAATCGCGGTCCCTACGGAGTCATCTAGGGATCGGACGACTAAACGGTCCATAGAACCTATTTGGAAGGTTCCGTCCGGGTCCTTCTCCGGTCTTTGGCGAGCCCTACACCCTCTACATAAAACTGTGTTGGGCAAGCGTCTGGCTAGGAATCCTCTAAGCAATAGTAAGACGAAGAAGAGGAAGAAAAAGAAGAAGAAGCATCGCGCTTCTACAACCCCCCGTCACAATAGCTCTCCTCTCTGGCCCCCGACCACAAGTACCAGGGAGCAGATGTCAGCCCGTGCGGCAAAGCAACAAGGGTAAAACTGGGGGCCTAAAAAAGAGTGGGCTGGGGTACATATCCTGCACACTTGAAAACCAGGTGGTTGAAGACTACACTCTACACTAGACTGGGTAGGTACCAGGGAAGGGAGCATTTAGATGGTGGTGCGAAGGATTTAGTGTCATGTACCTAGATATGGATGGAATATTTTATGTCGCAGCGTCCGCCTTGCCACTAACAGCAGTTTCCCGTTCTAACAGAGCAAGAAAAAGAATAAATCAAAGGCTGGGCGTAAAAACGGTCGCAAAATCTCCGTCGATCCAGAGAACTCCAACCTTCAGCGCCGCGATCTTCCACTCTCCATTAACCTGCGCGAAGACCATCGTGTTAATCCCGTGGCCGGTAGCCAGCACAGCCGCAGCACCGTCTCGTGGAGCTCTCCGAATCGCCGTCATAATCTGAAAATCGACGCTTGTGCGGAATTCCGACTCCCGGGTCCATTTGCACGCGCCGACCAAATGGTGCGACTGGATCTCGGGATTGCCTAGTTGGTCTGAACTGGAGACTTGACCAATATATACGGAAGGCTGAACAGCGGTAGCCTTGAGTTGACCGAGGGCCGAGTAGTCCATGTCGATCACAGGCGCAAAAATCGCCGGCAGACGAGCCCAGGATTTTGTATCGATGCAAGTGGCCCAAGTATGGAGGAGGTTCTGACAGGCGAGAGGGATATCGGGGTCCGACATGGCTTCCTAAGGGACTCGGGATGGATACGTCAAGTGAAGGGGCGCTGATGTGGTAAACAAGGCTGAATGCAGTGGGAAGATGGAAAGTGGAGAAAGTGTGCTCAGGCAATGGCTCGGCACAGTAATATAAATGTCAGGAATCAGCAGAAGTGAAGAAGGGAAGATGAACTGCTGCCCTGTGGTAGACACACTGGTTTAGTGCTTATTCGGTAGCAACGAGCCCGCATAGTTACTCCGGGGCCTCGACCCATACCTGACGGGATCATCACGGTTACATCCTTCCCACCGGCCCTAGACCTACAGTCAGATTTAAAGCTCCACCTACCCCATTGGATGCTACTGTGGAATACTTGGAAATAAAGATCGACAGGCCTTAGTAAGCACTAAGACTAACTAGTATTAGTTAACTAATATATGGTATGTACATGGATCGACAGCCGCTAGCTGACTTTGAACACTTCGTCTGGTTCATTGATCCTACTGTTCGTCCCTGTGGTTCTATACACGGAGTTAATCCTCTCCCGTATAATGTGCAACTGATCTGCCGTCAAAGTATCGTTGGCGCCAGGGAAAGCGTTGAAGACGGCCACCGGTTTCAGGGCTTGCGTCTTAAATAACTCTCTATTGCGGCGAAATGCGGTCAGGAGAATCTCCTGGTCTCGGGCGTCTTCCAGACAGTTCAGGCTAATCACAGGATTGACAGTCGCATCCGATGATACGATGCTCACGTTGCCGCGCGAGAACGTGGCAACGGGCCCGAGAGATGCGGCCACGTATGGCCTCTTATCTGCAAGCCCATTGCTACTGTCGGCCCCTTCGGCAAAGACCTGATCGAGTACAAGGTACTCAATATGCGGCCAGTCTTCGAGTGGATTGATGCCTGGAAGGTCTGAGGGAGCCAGTTGAGGCACGGCCTCTACTTATGACGTTAATACTAGCTTGGGGGGCTCGGACACGCGACTGTAGATGCTTGCATCATCGTTATTGTCAAGCGTGGAGCGATAAGGCGACATTTTATTTGCAAGAACCGTAGGAGCGCCGCTTGTAAAGTAGATTAATAATTTCTCTTGCTGCTCAGCGTGATGTTGTAGACGACAAGTGCAGGAGGCGTCGAATTGTAGCCATCTTTGGATGCCTCCAGTAAATCAGCTTTCTGCAGCGCAAACACCGAGTGCTTATAACCTGCCTTTAGTATCTGTTATTATGCCCTGAATTGGTCGCGAATATCTCTTATATATGCTGGTTTTTATATATTAATATCTACCCTCTTCGTTCCGCGGCCATAAAGCCGTTATTTCCTTGTTATATATATTCAAGGATTGGCTAGTTCAGTCGCCGTGTCACAGGACTTGACAAGGCTCTCGACCGAGTTCGTCCAGACATAGCCAGTAAATGTAGGAGCTGGGGTCAATGTTTCGGTAAAGGTAGTCAACGTCAACACGGAACGGTTCAAGGTGTTCGACGACAAGCCAACAGTACTCGGCAGCAAGGGCTTCCAAACCTGCTTCGGCATAGTGGTTCTGTCCAACCATGGCGTCATCCTCGAGCACTACAACCCAAGCGAGACAGATGTAGACCAAGCCAAAGAGCACATCCCCAAACTTTACCAGGAAATAAGGACAAGCTTGCCGGGGCGACGGCGTACATTATTGCGAGCGTTAACTTGTGGATAGAGGAATACATCGACCTGAAGCTTGTATCTCAATTGGAAGATATGATAAACAGCGAGCTGGGGCTGGAACCTCACATCGTGAAATATACGGATAAGTTGAACCTTCAAGGGACGTCTGATGGCGATATCAGGGATGATTTTGAAGAATGGGCGGAGAAGCTTATGGATGGGGAGATCCTGGTAAAGCATCCGGGTGGGAAGGATCCCAAGGGAGCCGAGCTTATCTTGGTCCACCTTAAAATGCAGAAGGATCCCCAGACCAGTCATTTATCAATCAACCGGGCTCGACGGCTGTTGGTTTCCTTCCCCTGTCACAGGTACCAATTTGCTTACTGCCGGTGATGGGGCTTTGCATATAATTCTATAGCGAGTGAACTCGATATACAGATCGTGGAAACAAGTCGGATTTGTCTCTGCAATACAAATTAAATAACTCCACCATCCAACATTGAAACAACCTTTTCATGGCCCTGTTGCAACCCAACATCTCTCACAGTAAGGTCCTTTTCATCTCTCACACTGACATCAGCACCCAGCTGCAGCAGGAGCCGCACGCAGTCCAACGCATTACCCTTAACCGCGTAATATAGAGCCGTTTCCGTCCACTGGTAGTCGTTATGATACTCGTACTCGCGTTGGTTCACAGGGAAGCCAACTTCATCCAGTAACCACTCCAGAACATCGATCCTGCCGCCTTGGGCAGCCCGGTGCAGGGCATTGCTGCGACAGAAGTTTCCCCGTGGGCGGCGAGAAGTCGGAGAGTCTGCATTAAGCCATGTTCAGCAGCAAAGCTGAGGACATCAATATGACCTTTGTAACCTTGGGCGTTTGGATCAGCGCCATGGGCGAGGCACCAGCGTACGCGTCTCTCATGGTTCACGACTTGTCTGTGGAATTGATTTAAATTAGAATGTCACCGGCGTATATTACCTAGGGAGATATACTAATTGATAGATAGGTATATATTATGGTTAGGGGAGATTCAACTAGAAATACACGCACCTGAGGATCGTACAATGGTTCTCCTTTATCGGCTCATTGATCTCCCATCCATGTTTCTGGAATAACTCCAGGACATCAAAAGACTCTGTCTTCATCGCCCTCTGCACGGCGATGCGTGAAACTGGCCATTTTCTGTCTTCTAGAAGGTACCGGATTACATTTACTTGATTCTTCCTTGACGCCTGAATCAACCATTTTTCCGGCACTACCCGAGGGCCCCTAGGGGCCCTCCCTGAATTCTGCCGGCAGCTTTTTTTTTTGTTGCGGAGTGGCCGCTATAGCCTGCCGTAGGCAAGCATCTACAGCAGATAGATTACTTAAAGCGCCTCCACATAGTCCTTGATCCCTTCTTGAGATAGTATTTTATAAGCTTATTGAAGGTTATGAATTACACTGAGCTTATTCTTAGGCGTAAAGAAATGCGTGAATTACGGGCTTCTTACGAAAAGTAACTTCAGAAAAGAGAGCGCCACGCTAGACAGCTAGTTATTATAGATGGGCCAGCTATTCAGGAAGGGCTAGAGCGATTTAAGCGCGAGAATGAGCTCTATGAAGCACCCGATAGATCCTGTACTTTCTGCAGTTAGGCTAAGCGTACGAACCCCTCCCCCTCTCCCCAACATTATTCGGGGACATAGTAAAGTTAGATGCCCTAACCATATAGTAACTAGCTTACAATTAGTCGGTTCATAATGGCTCTGGTGTATGGCCCGCGGGCGGGGATTGGGGGCGCGGTGGCCGCTCGCTAATGAAATACGATATCACGTAGAGCTGATATGGATAATGAACTACCTAGCCGCCTGCGAGTACTTCCTTCCAAGGGAAATCACTCAGGTGTGGCCATCTTCCTTTCTACATACGCAGAATTAACCCTAGAAAAGCCGCAAAGTTGTCGTCACGGCCGCATCAACCAGCACACTCGTCCCGTTGATATAGCTCGCTGCCGGACTCAGCAGGAACGCAATAGTATCAGACACCTCATCACTCTCTGCAGCCCGCTTAATAGGAACAAAAGCCGAAATCATGCCCGCGACGTCCGGATTACTTCGCAGCTCCTCATCCAAAAGGGGCGTGCGAACCCAGGTGGGACAGACAGCGTTGCATCGGATTCCTTCGGCTGCATGGTCCAGACCTGCCATCTTGGTCAAACCCATAACCGCATGTTTTGATACCGTATAGGACATTTTGCCCGGAAGTCCGGCAAAAGAATTCGCGGAGGCGATATTGACTATGGCACCACGGCCGATATGACATATCGCGTTACGTCCTTGTACCTGTCGGGGAGTTTGTTTTCGCATAGCAGCGCACTGTGCGCGAACACACATCATCATTCCTTTCGCATTAATATCCAGGATCCGTTCGAAGTTCTCGATGTCGGTTTCGGCGACAGGGCAGTGAACGCCATTATCAATCTAATGACCGTTAACAGTCAGGGAGGGAACTGAGGTGACGGAGAAAGAAGCAGTCCTTACCCCTGCACCATTCACACAATAATCCAGCCGGCCAAAGGTATTGACTACAGAGTATACCATGTCCTGGACGGCTTGCTTATCTGTAACATTGACTGTAAATGTAGTCGCGGTGTAGTCCTTGTTCGAAGCGTATTTCCTGCTTTCCTCGGCGGACTGTTTGGCGGTCTCTTCGTTCATATCAGCAAACACAACCACTTTTGCACCAGCCTCGGCCAGAGAAAAGGCGGCTTGTTGGCCGATGCCGCGTCCAGACTGTGCAGAACGTATAGTCTATTAGCCAGAATTGCAAGAGGATGAAATTGTCGCTGTCAAAAAGGTCAGAGCACGCTGCACTTACCCCGACAACAAGCGCAATACCGTCAAGTTGGGTGTTAGTGATCATAGCGAAAGTTTGCTGAAAGATAACAAGGACCTCATTAATAAAGAGACAAGTACCAGGGAGTTTGAAAGAAGAACAAATCTGAAGGGAGATTTATCGAATTTATATCTCTGAAGCCGGGACATAAGAAATCCTGGCCAGCCAAAGGACTCCGCCCCGCGACCAGGTTGGATGCAACTGCCAACAGACCCCCATATAGCTCGTGAGGGGTTAGAGGACCAGGGTTTGACAGGGATGAGGCCGGCGCCCTCTAGCAACAGGAGGCCAGCGAGCGTTGGTCTTTGTGGCAAGAAAAAAACTCATTTTTTGCATCAAAGGATAGCGTATCCCGTAAAATTGCGGTACGATGGAAGTTACCTACCACTGAGAAATATAACCTTGATGCATGCCGAACTGCTGTTATTTTTCAGCGGGACCTATCCAAGTGCCCATGAAGGAAACGGCGTAGCACAAAAACGGAAGAACCATATTAAACTACATTTATCACCAATCAAGCGAGTAATAAGTGGCAAGATGTATTTTCATTTAAACAACTCTTCTTCAGCTCACTGAGAGCAAACAATCCAGAAGAAAAATGTTGTGTCAAAGTGTGCATATGGTGAATAGTCACATCTCTGGTACTTAATACCAGATTTGTGAAATAAAAAATGGCCTGGTAAAGAGAAGAATATATTACACCTGTAGCCATTCATCTTCACTCATGTTGAATCGCGTATGGTGATGGACAGTGCAATATCGATCAATATACGGTTGAAGCTTTCTAGCCCGATCAAGCATTAAGAAGGTAGAGTTCCATTGTGTACAAATATCCTGGATAGGAACAAGATATGGCCCTATTGTTTGAACATCAAAAAACGCCTTTCGGCGCTTTGGACTGGCGTTGATGAAGAAAGCAAGGTCCCGGATCTAGAATAAATATAAAAGGACAAAGGTTAACATTTCGGCTATAAAATAGGATAGAAGAAATCCTACTAGCAGAATAATATCGCTGGGTACTCACTACCTATAGCTGAATGGGGCCAATCCAAGCGCTAGATTAATCGTACATTGCTACCTGGACCAGGAAGCAAAAATGTTATGTTAGCATGGTATTTTAGACAAAGTATTCTTCAATCTATCTACATACGATCTCTTGAGTCATGGAACATTCATTCACGGTTATCGTTCACCAGTCTTCCATACTCCAACATGAGGCGCCACCAGAAAAGTCTCATATCTTCACTGCGAAGTACACGGCGCGACCACTCGTGGCTGCTTTCAGCAATCCTTTTGCCCAATGCCTGCCCCTCTTCCTCTTGGGTAAAATAACGCACAATTTCCGGGAAGTCCCGAAGGTCCATGCTGACCGGTATATAATGGACCCATGGAATTAGCCAGTCATCATGCCACTCTTGGTAAAGAGTTTGCTTCATTACAGCCGATTTGGACATCAGCAAGCGGTAGAAGCGCCCACTGAGACCATTTCCATCCAGGTCGAGATTATATCGTGTTCTATATCCATCATCTATACCGTCTCTTTCCCCATGCAAAATATGCAAGACATCATTCTGTTCTTTGCATGCTATGTCGTCACATTGAATGGCGGCCGAAATCCGCACCCGGGTAGAGTTGGAGATAGCTGCCACAGTGGAGGTCACTGGAACCCAATCTGGGCTTCGTTTATCCGGTTGCTGGAGTCGATGCAGCAAATTAATTGGGTGGCTTTCGTCCATCATCATCAATACTAAACGCTGACGTTGTAGTGATCGCCAGTTCTCGGAGGTAGAGTGGCCTCCCGTATTTGACCCTGTCCAATAAACAATATTGTCTTTTTCTTCCCAATCCATATCTTCCCTTTCTTTGTATTCTCGCGTTCGCAGCTTCTCGGCATAAAATAGACTTGGGTAAAGAATATCATTGAAGCAGGACGCTTTTGCTTGAGAAAAGACCGGGACTAGGGAATGGGTGATAGTCATTGACGCTGGATGGCGGAGACCAGCATGGATTTTATGAAGCTCGGGAAATTGACAAACGTCCTTTCCCAATGTTACATTGGAGAGAAAGCCTATCTCGGTCAGGAAAGGAGAATGTTCGGCCTTTAAAGAAAAGTCCCGCGCCATCGTGTCAGGAGCACATGATAATGATAACGCATCCCAAGTATTCTGCTGTCCAATACTCAGTAAATCGACATGTTGGGCGATTTCTGGGTTTATTCCTGGTAGGACTGGAGTTTTGTGCCTATTACTAGCAGCATTCAAGGCATGAGATAGCATATCGTGAGGTACAACAACTTTAGCTTCGTCCATGGTATTCATCGCAAGGGTCATATTGGGTAAGGTTTCAAGGACCTCTGAGTCAAACCAAGGGTTGAAAATCTGCGGATTCCAGGCTGCAGGATCGTCAAAGGAGAGCCTTGTACGTTGGTTAACAGTGAAACGATACATGCCTTGCCCTCGGCTAGCTTCAATCACGTTTTCAATACGAGCGCGAATATCAGATGGAGCTACACCCCACAGGGGTTCCAGACCTGACATCATCGAGTCAAACTCGTCCACTAACAAGAAATTTTCTTTCTGGGCTGCTTGAAACCACTTGTCAAAATTCGGAGGAGGTTTCCGTCCATATCGGCGCTCGTACTCTGCACAGCAAGCACTTAGCGTTCGAGATTGTCGATCGACCATCGCATTAAACTCAAAATCAGCCTTTGCAGCAAGGTGGCGAATTGGATGTGTGGATAGATGTCGTTCAGTTCGTAATTGATACGATTCCAAATGCCATAATACTGAATATCCCATAAGAATGGGCAATATCGGAATAACTGCCATAGCGAAAACTCTTCGCCTTGTTGTCGATGGAGGAAGATGAATGACTCCCCATACCAGTGATAGGACAGAAATCAACGGGGATAAGAGGGACGCTTGAAATGTATCTGCCAGAAGGCTTTGCATCGCGGCTGTGGAATATGAATCGATAGTTGCGGCAGCAAAAGTTTGACCACCCATAACCTTTCCATGTGTAAAAATATAGTATTAGCTGAGATTGATTTTGTTGAATGTATTGATTCAAGGATTCTGTAAATACCCACCAAATAGCCAGTAGCTGCCAGTCCTGCTGCGGTGAAAAGCGCCCGCAGTACCATCAGCCATGCTAACATAGACGACGGCGGAAATACCAGCAAAGCTCCTATGAGAATGAAAGATACGCGAAAAACTATAGCCTCAAGCATCTGAAGAAGAGGTAGGTGTAGGTTATTGTCCCGGCATGTCTCTAATAAGACAAATGCGGATGATCTCGCCATCACAAAAAAAAACATAACCAAGGCCGAAGAACCATTTAAAAGGTCACTAAAGTGGTAAAGGAAGAACAGGCATAGTAAGCCAAGAGCTGATAGTTGTTGATAGTGCCGGAGTTTTGAGGCTGATCGTAATAATTTGTTATGGCCTCCTGGCTCCGGCAAGGTAGGCGATTGTGAAGCTCGATATTGCAGTGCAATGGATAGAAATGCCACGGTCATCGGCTACAACATATTAGCCAATACGAAATACCTATCGTCAAATTAGAAAAGCAGAGGTATACCATTGCCAGTTCTGTATCATGATGCACCATTAAGACACGCGCACCCGCAATGCAAATTGAGGTGCTCCATGTTATCCAGTTGAAGGCGTATTTCTGTTCCTGCGGCAATATACCATTGTCGAGCGCCACTGTCGGCTGTTGTATAAGTTTGCAACGCAGTCCAATCGCAATATACAAGAATATCCAGCACAAACACTCGACACGAATGTCGAGGTTATATTTTAGAATCTGTTGCGAGTACTCGGATGTGAGCGCGATAACGGCGGCGATAACGTATGTAGTGCTGTAATCCATGGCTTGAGTATATTCGTCAGTGACATTTCAGGCTCTGTAGTCAAGTAATGCGAAACCCACTTGTTGGTCCATCTACCTGTTTTAATCACAACATGAGAATGCCCCTGCCTGGGCTTTCCTTGCCGGCGACACCAACTGTGTGCTAAGGTGGAGTCAAGAAGGAAAGAGAACGATGTAAGACGAACAATAAGACAGATCAACTCATTTTACGAATGATAAGCCGAGGGCAGCGAAATGAGATCAAGTTCTGAATACGGAGTGGGGAGTGTAGAGAATGGCTCGTAGCCGTCGGGCTGAGAGAGATTTTGTCCCCCAGCATTTCAGCCCGATCGCTTAATTCACACAAAAGTAGAAAAAGGCTCTATTGAGACTTGAGCAGGGATAGGAAATTGCACCTTCCCAACATTGCCATGGCGCAACTCATTTTTTCAGCTCATGTCGTGGAAAACGGTAAAGGCCATATTGGATAGACGCCGGCTGCTGCGCCGCTGACAGCCGGTGGGTCACGATGTGCCTGGGATCACCAATGGCCGCGGGTGGCTTAATGAAGTACATCTTACTGACCCACTCTCATTTCTAGGCGCAGCACCAAGATTGAAATGAACTGATAGTCCGTGAGGGGTTGGAGGACCAGGGTTTGACAAGGACGAGGCCGGCGCCCTCGAGCAGCAGGCATGTCTGTGGGGGCATTTCAAATCAGTCCCGGGGCATGTTATTGATTAAAATGTAATAAAATGCAGTCAAATTTCTAGATCTTCCCATACAGGGTACCAAAAAAGGCCAGCCTTTCCACAGAGCTAGAGTGCGGCAGCATCTGCGAAAATCCAAATCCGCTCCGTATCCGCTCTGCAGATTGCTATAAGGACCTGAGGCCTTACGTGAGGGTTTGCGATAGGTGTGAAAGGTAATAATGCACTAGAATAGGCGCAGGGATAGGTGATTCCAAGAATCAGGTCTCTCGTTGAGATTAACGCTGAAGGACTGTGTACTGCCCTCGCGCATAGTTAACTAGTTAATTATAATATTTATAGATAGTTCCAGGAACGTAGCCGCCCGGATAAATGAGACTCATAATCCTAGGGAACGGGGATAATCCGAAAAGCTAAATATAGAGCCAATACACACTGGCGCCAAGCTGACAAATAACTACCTGCACAAGGGGCAACGAGGGGGAGGTGGATGAATGTAAATATCAATTAACGGGACAGCGTCATCGGACGAAAGTAAAAGAAAAGAGCAAGCGCCAACCTCGGTACGTTATACCCCGCCAGCCCTGGTACACAGAGTTACGTGGAGTTGGCCAGGGTACCTGCAGGCGCTCCGAACTCAAGTGGCCCTGCAGGGTCCATTATGTGCGATGTTATCATAAGCCGGTCTCTCAAAGTGCCATTTGGCATGTAACTGGACTGATGACGGCCTGCGGCTGGGGAGAGTTGTCTGCTCCCTCATATATTGGACAAACTATAACAGTATAGATGTGCAACGGGATAAGGGTTTCCTCACGCTTACAAACGGGGTATTCCGCTATGATACAAGTTATTCTAGGCTATATACGAACTTGAAATGCAGGCATAATAAAGGATCTATCTCACTAGATGGCAGATATGCGGGCAGGTCTCCGCTCTGGCCTATTCGCGGTTGGGTGTTTCCAAAGGATCATCGTGACAATAATCCTAGTTAATAATAGTCCCTCGACGCGCTTCGAATGAACCAAAGTATGTCTGTCACAGGCCTGCAGATAATCCCTGTTAGCTGTCCTTCATTTGACGGCATGCACCACGCTGGCTCCACCATGCAGAACCGCTCGCCGCTGTCTGGCTCAGGGGTTTCTCCCGTTGCTCAAACACTCCTCGACTCCCACGCTGCGAGCGCGCATGGCGGGTGGTCGGCGAATATCCCTCTCGACTGCCTATATCGCCTCTGACCATTTCCACCGTGCCTGCGATGCCAACCTCGTCCACTATGCAATGCGTCAGGCTTCGTTTGCTGGCCATTGCGCTCTTATTTCGCTCCTCTTATCTAGCCGCTGCGGCTGAATCGCCGGCGCCCTACACGATGACTTGGTCGGACAAAAGCTACGGCCCGGATGGACCCTGGCAGGCCATCTCGGTTCGCATGGGCAGTGAAACCCAACCGCTCGCCCTCTATCCGGGAGGAACATGGGCGAGCTTGGTCTTCACGGAGTCCTTCTGTGCCAATACAAGCATTTCATCCGTCTGCTACGCGGATAGGAGCGGACTGTTCCAGACCAAAAACTCGGAGACCTGGGATAACAAGTCCATTGAATTTGCGCCAAACAGAGATAAGTGGTCTGGTCTCTCAATGGGGTATGCAGATGCGGTGCCGGTCAACGCTCTTGCTGAACGCGCGATGGATACCATGGAAGTCGGAGGAAACAAAGTTGCTGGCCTCGACCTGATCGCAATCTCACAGGCTTATCAAACATATCCCGGCGGTCAGAATTTCCCCCTCGAGGTTGGGGATAGAAAGTGCTATCGATACGGAGCTTCTCGTCAACCGTAAAATGCCAAACAGGGTAAAGGTCAGCATCATTATTACTAGTACCCAGGGAGAAGGTCGGCTTCTTTCCGCGAGAACGACTAAAGGTTTCAATTACAGTAATTTCAGTAGTGTATTAACGTTCTAAGCGTTAAAACTGGCTGCGGGAACGCAGGTTCTCGTGCAGGCTAAAAAAGGGATTGTCTTCTACGTTCTTAACCGGCTTATCGACTCCATAAAGATCTTTATCTAGGAGGGAGACTCGGGGGCTCTGAGGCTGAAGGGCCTCGGGCTGCTCGGAGGCCTCAAGACGCTGGAAAAGCTCGAAACGCTCAGCAGAGGCCTGTTCTGCGGCAGTCTTCAGCTGGATAACTTCCTCTTAGAAGTAGAGAATAATCTGTATAGTCTCGGAGTAAGTCTTTTTGTAACGCTCAGCGCGCGAGCTCTGGTAAATTACTAAGATATCACGGGCATTCGCCTGCTCCTCTAAAATCTAAATCGTTAACTTCATTATCTCGATCTCGTGAGTAGCGTTGGAGGTCTCAGTAGAACAATCTGTAGGGGCCGGAGAGCGATCGAAACTGATACGAGATATCATATCGAGACTACTAAGGTCGAGGCGGGTGCTAGTGATGAAGGCACGCACAGTTAATGTTGCCTTAGGATCTGGCTGATTATTAACGAAGGGCTGAGCTGCCTTGCTGGCGATCTTGGTCGTTTTCGCAGGTTTCTTCTTTACGGCGGTGCTAGGAGTCTGCGGCTCAGTAGTGGATTCATCTTGGCTCTCTTGGGAGTGCCGTGAAGCCACGCTGCTGGCTCTGCTGGCGGCAGACGATCTAGTAGTAGGACAATCCATCGGGAGGTCCACTCTAGAGGTCCTAGAAGGATTCTGGAAGGCCTTGGCAATGCCAAGGTTGTGCAAACGGGTAGTGGATCAAGTCAACGAGAACAAGGTTCAAAGGGGTCCAAATAGATGAAACTGATAAAATACTGATGGAATCAATGAAATAGCGATGCAGCTTATTAGTGTAAGGCACTGACCTCAAGAAACGTAGGTATGCATTGACGAAGAATAAGCTGCATAGAGTGCAGCTTGTTCTGCGTGAAGAAACTATTTATGCCTACTATCTGGGGGTCACGTGACAGAGTCATGTGAGCCAACATACCGAAAGGTTCCTGACAGTTTCTGCGGCCGAGGAAATGATGTCTGATAAAATAAAATTATACAGAAAGGGGATCCAGCTAATTACTATTATACTACGCTGTATTCGGGTGGTGTTTTTTCTTCATCACTAGTTACTAGTCTGCATTATGTCGACAATCCTCAGCGACTTGAAAATCTTTAAGATAAGTGACCCATTTATAACAGTTAGATATAATTCCAAAAAAAAAACGACCGAACGCTTTTTCAGTTGCAGCCGATTCAATTCATAGTGTATCGTGCAACCTTTAGCGTTTCTGCTATCTGAGTCGTTAGAATATAAGCTCGTATCCTAAGCTAGAGAGCCTCGACGGCTCCTTATATATTCTAGAAACAAAAGGTAACCTCTAGAGAACTCGGCGGTCACGACGATCAAATATTAATGACAATGGAGTGAAAGGTATTATGAAAGCCGAAAAAAACATGAAAAAATCGATACTGGATAACGTGTAATTTAGGCCATAAAAAAGTAAATATATCAACTAGTTACGCGATCAATTCGATCGGTTCATTGAGGCGATGAGAATGGCAGCTTAGTCAACTCCCGCGGCCACAACAAACACAAACAACATGGAGCCTCCAGCATCCCCTATTCGAAATGTATCACGCAACTCGCTCGCTACGAACCTTCCCCGCAACACTAGTCGCATTGGCTCCGTGACGGTTGTACTTTTGCAGTAGGGGGCTTTGAAATTCAAACCTTCTTGGCAGTCATGTCGGCGACAATCCCCAAGCGCAAGCGCGCAAGGAAAGCATGCATTCCGTGCCATCAGCGCAAGCGGAAATGCGACACCGAATATCCATGTGGCATGTGCACCACCTATGACTACAATTGCAAGTACAAGGAGGACGACATCACCGGCGCTGCAGGCGATGGCGTTGATGGCACGTCTCAAAGCAAGCGTATCAGCCATGGTGGCAGAAGTCGTTTGACGAGCCGCTCTCATGCAGAGCAAAGTCCTCACGAAGTCAACGGCTCATCGACGAATAGTCCTAGCGTCGTGGCTAGTGTGTCAACAGGCATCTTCGATGAGCACAAATCCAGATACGCCGGGGCGTCAGCGGCCATGGCATTTCCACACATCCTAAGCGCGGCTCTCGGTTCCGACTGTCCCCTCAAGATGCGATCATTCGCTTACAACTTTGGCATCCGACCAGAAGAGACATCTAACACTCACTGCCTGCTTGGAAAACTCATATCCAAAAACGACCTCGGCTACTTTGCAGGTGCGTATTTCGCGGCCCTGGCCCCTATAGGCGACCTGTTGGACGCCAGAATCTTTCTCGACCGGTGTGAGGATTATTACAATGGCTCCGGTAGTACCTCAGTTGCCTTTGCCGCCGTAGCCGCCGGAATAGCTAGTCTTGGGTCGTTTTTATCCCCCAAGGGACATCCGCGGGAGTCTGAGCTGGTGCAGTACGCGAAAACGGTACTCGATGATCCGGCCTCCATGCGCATGCTAAGCATCGACCACATCGTCGCGTGGTGCTTGCGAGTGTTTTACCTGCGCGCCACGACCCGCCCTAACAATGCTTGGATCGCTTCCTGCACTGCCATGCATCTATGCGAAACAGTGGGGTTGCACGAGGAAGGGAACATCAAGAAGATGGCGTCCATGCCCGGCACCGCGGTCCTGGGATATGATGCCGACCGACTGAGGAGGATCTTTTGGATCGCTTGGGCGGGACACAACATGCTATCCTATGAGCAAGACTGTTCGGCGGTACAATTTCGGGCTGTGACTTGCCAGCCTATCATTCCGACATTGGATTCTGTTGCCGACCAGTTCGTAAAACTGATCCAGATCATCCCGGCGCCTAACTCGCCGTTTAAACTTGAACGGCAGCCTTCGAATCCCAGCGAGGAGCTATTTGAGCGTCTCAAAGCACTAGATGAGTTCCAAGTCAGCCATCCCTTCTTGGTGGTGACCAAAGCAGACATCGCGCTGTGCTTCTATCGACGCATTTACCAGCTCAAGACCTGGATACCGGACGAGTTCATCAAACTCGTCATCGATTGTGGAAACGCCGGTGTGGAGGCGGCCGAGCAGCTCGCCACCCAGGGTCGTTTGTTCTGGAACGTCATTGGTAGCGTGTTTCAGTATGCGTGCGTTCTGTTGGCGATCGACACACCAACCGCCTCCACCCATATCGGCACCGCCTTCAAGGGATTGGAAAGCCTCGTCAAGGCAGCTGATACAGGGCTGACTCGTGAGGCGCTGTCGATGGCGCGGCACCTACTCAGCCTAAATATGGCAAAGAAGCGCAAGGAGCTTGCTCAGCTGGAAGCTGTCGAGGCAAGCTATGAAATTTCCCAGACGCAGCCGGAATCCGAGGCCAACAACTCCGTGCCAGACATGAGCTGGGAGCTTGATTGGGACCAGTTCTTCATCGATCCGTATCTGTCGATGCTTGGTTGGGACGCCGAGCTATAGAAGTGCGTGGGTTGTTGACATGACGTATGTAATTTGTCATCCTTCGTGGTGTTGGGCGGCGTTGGTGCGGCTATTGCGGAGTTATTCCTTATCTATCGCCGCATCAGTGGATCTTAGCCTTATCCGCGCGTGTTGCTGTGCGGCTGCGGCGGCGGAGATCGCGGACTTTACTGCGGCTGGTTTGGCCCCCATCGAATTGCGTAAACCCAACAAAGGATTCGAGACTAGAGCTTCAATCTATAAATGGATGAGTATTCTCTGCTTCGGCATAAATCATCAACTTCACAACTCACACACTCACCCAATCACCCACACACCTCAACCATCTCGCTCGACCACAATCACAACAATCAACAAATACACTCCACGAATCAATTCAACCTCCTGTCATAAAAGCATAACCCAAAACAAAGAAAGACAAAATGCCCCGATACGCCAAAGACCAGCCCACCGGCTTCCGAAACGTCATCGAGCGAGTCGCCATTGTCGGGGTAAGTAACCCAGTCAACAACTCCACGTTTACAACAATACTAATAAACACTCCCAGGCCGGAGGCACCGTTGGATCTCACCTTGCTGCAGCACTCCTCAAGACCGGAAAACACACAGTCACAGCCATATCTCGCAAAGACAGCTCCAACAAACTCCCCGCGGGCGTCCAAGTCGCCGCAGTCAACTACGACGACGAGTCTACGATTGTTGCCGCTCTCGAGCACCAACAATTCCTCATCATAACCATGTCACCTACCGCTAGCCGAGATACCCACAGCAAGCTTGTCCAGGCGGCCGCCAAAGCTGGTGTTCCCTACGTGATGCCGAACGAATACGCCGGGGACATTGAGAACGTGAAGCTCGGTGAGGATATACTATTGGGTCCTACAGCCATCGCCAACAGAGAGGAGATCGAGAAGCTCGGCATGCAATGGGTTACCGTGTGCTGTGGGTTCTGGTACGATTATAGCTTGGCGGGCGGCGAAGCACGATTCGGATTCGACTTTGACAAGCGTTCTTTGACGATCTACGATGATGGCAACACCAAGAACACGACGTCAACGTTATCGCAGGTCGGGCGCGCAGTGGCCAAGGCACTGAGTCTCAAGGAGCTTCCGGAGGACGAAAATGACAAGAGCCTGACACTGTCGACGTTCCTTAACAAGGGCGTGTACATCAAGAGCTTTGTGGTCAGTCAAAACGAAATTTTCGAGAGTGTCAAGCGTGTTACCGGGACTACGGACGCCGACTGGACAATTACGCACGAGGCCACGAAGCAGCGATACGAGGATGGATTGGCGCTGGTTAAAGGTGGCAACATGGCTGGTTTTGCTAAATTGCTGTTCGCAAGAGCGTTTTATCCGGATGAGCCGAGCGAATTTTCGGCGAAGGCGCTGAATGGGATCCTTGGATTGCCGGAAGAGAACCTAGATGAGTCGACAAAGGTCGGGATAGATATGGTGAAGGAGCTGCAGAGCCGTGCTGAGCGTATGGCTTCCTGAAGGCGACATCTGCAGGTCCGGGGGCTTAAACTGTACAGTAGAAGATTGATTGCTTCAGACCAGCGCTGGGGAATGTTAGATATGAAATGGTCAAAAGATCGCATCGCTTCTCTTATTAGGTCAAGAAGAGTACCATTCCATTCCTTGCCGCTGCTCAATGTACAGACGACAAAAGATAGATCCGGGGGGTTTGCTCTGCTTCCAAGGTGAGATTTCTATTATCTCGACACCGCTTCAATCTAACCGTAGCTCTCTTCGGTCTCTGGGGGTTGAAGCAGCATCTTCTATCTTCTGCAGTGTGTGGTCGGCAAAACAAAGGTTCCTACCTCCATCATTCAGACCAGGCAGCCCCGTCCTTCAAGAAAATCGCTGGGCAAAGTTTGCTGATGGGTGGCTCGGCATTTGCTCGTGGTTCCACTACACGGCGTGTCTGAACCTTTGTGGACCTGGGCTGAAGCGCTGCTCTTCTCCTTGTGTCCAGTCCTTGTCAAGGAAGGAACAAGAAGAGCGTGGACTTGATCCATCCTTGTCTGGCCGGGTGACGCGCACCTTCCCCTGGGAGAGAGGCAGATGCGACGGGGTGAAAAGTCGCTTGTAGGCCCTTCGTTTCCATTTCTCTTCTATTCCCCCCCCCCCCGGACCACTGAGGACTGTAAGAATCTCGCAATCACTTACATTTCCAGCATCTCCTTCCAGTTCTTCAATCTTAGGTCACTATCCCCTTTCCTGCTCCAGACACTTCTACTTCGTCCATCATTGAGTTTCAGTATCATCCAGCCCCCCAGTTTGATCTCTAACGTATGGTACAGGTCCGTGAAAAGACCCGCGTCCTCCCCATCCAAGTTGACGGATCCCCCTCTCTCCCTCCATGTCCTTGTGTTGTCCCCCGTGGGAAGCCATCCCAGCTGTACGTGAAAAGCCACCACGACAAGATACAAGGTGCTAATAGTGGGCTCAGGGAGAGGGCGTTGCCGTTGCTACGTCTCCAAAGGTATATGTTCAATGACATCGCTTCAATTGTGACCAAAGATCTAATGAGTGATACAGGATTCTTCACCTTCCTTCTCCAATACTGAAGATGTTGGTTCCTCCTCTGGCGTTGCGAATGCCGTCAACAACGCAGCCGAGGATACTAGCTTCCCAATATCCCTTATGTATGGCAAAAAGCATCTCATTTCTGGCAGCGTAATCAGCTCGGCAATAGTGCTTGAGAGTCGTCCTGAAGGCAGAATCTACAGTTTTACTTTTCCAAATGTACTTTAGAAACTCAATCGCATCAGGCTGTGTCTCACTGAGACTCGACCGAAAATGACTACATCTAGTTAGTTGATTTTTCTGCATCTAAAATGCTCAGGATATTGTATCGCTTCTCTGGTTGGATCAGGAAGGCTCCCATTTCACTTCGTTGCTGCTTGCTGATTGACAGACGAAGGGATATGTTATCATTGTCATATTACAAAAGGCTAGAACAGATTTTTCAGTTAAACATATCTGTACGCATAGCTGCTGCGGTGATAGCCTCTGCTTCGTTTCCCCATTGGAGACCGTCGAAGTGCCAGAACCCATTTTATATTGATAGACGCCCCCGCCCCCCCCTTCGTCGGTAACACGATGATCTCGACAGTAATATGCTAAGAGCCGTTTATCACTGTCAGTATCACGCCGACATCTTCCATTCGTGTCATGAATTTCACATTGCTGCTACGTAGCTTTTCTTTAGCGGCACAGGCAAACATAGCGGTCGTAGATCTAACAACACCTAACAATCATGAACGAAGGAACCTTAAAATCGGGTCCTTTCATACATCGTGGCCTCGCAGTTTTTCTTTCCGGGGTGTCCAGGAAGGAAGACTTGGCGGTTGCGATGAGAGACTCGTCGGTGTTATTGTCGCCGAGGATGGTGGACTGGTTGCGAAGGGGGATTAGCGACAGTGTGCCGATTTGGGTGTCTTCGCGGATACTGTACTTGATGTTTTTGCTGAGGCCAGAGAATTTCTCGAACAGTCTACGGACCTCGGGGATCTTCATTCTTCGTGACATTGGATGATGTAGGAAGATTACGAGATGGGAGATTTGAGGATGCGACTACGGAATACAATCCACGGAATTACAAAGACGGCATTTCTTCGGCCCATTTATTTGACCTCCCCCTCCCCTCCCCTTCTACGCCGCCAGTCTCGACCCCAGGTGACTTAGTTGGAAACAGGCACACAATGATCCCGGCATCGGTTGTTGACACGTTCATACACGGGGGATCCAACGGCTCGCACCTCCATTTGTTCCGCGGCGCGGTATGCATTACACGAAGGTTTTGTTTGCCGCTTCAAAATCACAGCTGTAGACCCAGACGATCTCGTAGCACCTTGGAACGTTAGAGTTTGAATCTGAGCAAGCGTAGTCGACTTTTGCTCACATCGTGGTGGTGACAGGAGAAGAGACTGGAGAGAAGATCGGCGCGTCGTTCACGATGAGAAGCTGAGCTATTGTGTCCCACGTCTCTTAGTTATTTCGCGCCATCATCTATTTGGTACGATAGATCTGATCCTCGGTACATACTTTGTCTGTCTAGAGAGCGTCTCTTCGAACGACGGAAGAGCGTAGCCTTGTCTTTCTTCGAACTGGCTGACACCGGTGGCGTATGGTGATGATGGTAGATAGTAGTGGCTCTTGTAAGCTTGAAAGACGTGAAAGGACAATCAAATTGATGGTAAGGGCTATGTAGGGAGTTGAAAGGTTGCTGAGTGACAAAGACGGGTCGAGTCTTACCCTAACTGGGCTACCAGCACGTGCACCACATGTGACCCACGGTATTCGATATGCATTACCATCGAATCTGTCTTAAACCAAATATTAAACTTCTCTCTAAAAAGGTCCAGCGTTCCGGTGTAAGGTGATGATCATTTCTCTGGTTGGGATACGCCATCATGAGCCAATGTGGAGTCGTCCTTCCTTTAACTTCACATATGTGCTTCCTTCACGGCAGGGACACAGCTTCATTATATTCTGTTTACATATTCCCCGATATTGCTCCTCTTCCCAGCATGGCTTCTGGTACTGCATATCGGTGTAAGATTCCGAATTTAGTGGTCCTTCCATGCGATCGAGAGCCCAATCCCAAGCCCGCAAAGCTATACAAAGCGTCTCATGGCTGCCACGAAGTGCGCCCAGCATTTCTCAATATCCTGGCTCTTTGCCGAGTTCTGTCAACCTTGGTGTCGGAAGTGTGGCGATTTCGGCCCTTTTCTCTACTTCCCGACGGCTACTCGCTTGTGCTATAAATGCAATTCTGTCGAACCCGAGTACGAGATAGCGGAAACATCGGTTCTTCGCTTTAACTTGGGTCTATCCTTGAAGCAACTGAATCAATTTCAATTATTCACAGCATTGATTTGCAACCCTCGCGCCGTTTCGCCAACATTACTCAAGCCAAGGCCTTGGCAATGCAAGTTCATGGTAGTGACAAGGCGATATGGCAGGCATACCTTGCTGAAGCGAAGAAACGCGGTGAAGCTGACCAGCGTCGGCTTCAGAAATGGGAACGAAGTGAACAGAATAGCCGTGTTCCTCATCTTCCTGTTTTCAACGAAAAAAGGAGGAACTATGATAGAGGACACAATTTAATCCTCCGGGCGATAGCTATCTTTCCATACTGGGATCGCCAGACACGAACACTCGAACCAGGCGTCTACTGTCAGGCTTGCACCTACGACGCAGAGAAAATGCCGGGTTCTTTGAAATACCAAGGCACAATCTGGGATGAGTACCCAAGTGCCCGCTGGGACGCTTATCATCGAGAGTTCTTGGAAGATGATATCCCTGACCATTTCCTCAATTGTCCCGCTGTCAAGCAAAACTATGATTTTCAAATCATCGTAATGGTGGATAAGCATAAGAGGAAGGGAACTAATTTTACCGTGAGACCCAGGAAAACCAGCGGGGTCTGATGACAGATTGCTCCGGATATTGATGGAAGATACGATGGTTGGATATCTAGACATGATTTTGCCTTTTGGCTGTGTCAAGCTTCGTCTGAATATAGCACGTGACTGGGGAGCATCTGCGCGTCCGTTGTATCTCTTAGAGTTCCTAATTGTCGGCTGACTTGATCATTGCCCTAAGCAGATATCCTATCGATTCAACGGAATGTAGGTATATGCTCGATGGGTAAAAGTGAAGTGTCATTTCTAAACTGCAATCTGCCTAGCCATTTATAGTTCCACTTGTTTACACCTATGCATTCCTGATCCATTGGTATGTCATTTGGAATGGTAGGCCAAGTCTAGGCCAAGCAAGGTGCTGTGCGGTATGTGGATTAGGTCAGGATCCTCCACTTCTCTGATCTGGTTGACAATATTGTTCCAACACCAATGATTCACGTTTAAAAGTTATAACAGAGCTCTAACAGTGATCCTTCTAGACATAGGGCACAACATCCGTGTTGTTATCGGTTTTAATGCTGCGAAATCAACGGTTGATTTCCGATATCCTATTAAAATGGTCCTATTAAGCGTCTTTGATGTGATAATACTTCAGATGTGCTGACCTCCTGAGCAATTCATTAACTATTCGGAGATCACCTTCTCAATTTCAAACTCAGTGAATCATCTAGTCCTTGAAAAAACATTCATAAATTGTAGAACCACCCAGAGCGCCCATTCCCTTGAGGAAGTTTTCCTATCACCTCCATTTTCTTCTCCATCATCAACCAATCCTGCTTTTAGCTTGGAAATGACCCAATAAAGAGAAAGGCTACTGAATGCTTTCACCGAACAAGTCAATATGCGGACTGACTTTGAATTTACATTTGGAGATGCTCGTTACCCCGACATGCTTGAGATACTTGCGAGAATACTGATCATGAGGCGGATCAGCAGGTTCCGACATCGAGTAGGTCCAAGCACTTTGTACAGCGATACTGCGCCCACGGTTACCTTTAGATGAGGCGTCAATGAAACATAACTCCTGGGAAACTGAAAGATTTTTCTTTCGTGGCACGCATTGCTGCGATATCTCGCTGATGCCAGCCCAAAATATCCAGAGAGGTGGTCAGGCCAAGCGGTATCAAAGTTTCTGCTCAAAAAGTCGACATTCAACGACGTGGAATTTTGGGCGCTGGTGGATATGTTACGCCATTTGCTGAGTATTCTTGGCCCAGCGCTAAGTTTTGGCTGGCGGCGCTGAGCCGTGCGAGGTTCTCGATCATATCATCAGAGCACCTTAAACCAACTAATTAGTCGCAAACCTGGTTTCCGTCTGCCTATCCGCAGGAAGGGAAAGAAGAAAGGCAGACCCTTCGAGTGCTGTGCAGAAGCATATCCGTGCCGTCTGATGCGAAGGTTTGTCTAAACCGTCGATCTACATATCGGGTTACTGACATGGCCCAGAGATGCCGCCGACAAGAATGCCATTCCTGGCTTAGCCTTGTTTGTTGAAGGATACAGAACCACAATCAGATACGATGATCACCTTTCCAGTCCTATGTGGACACGCGGGTGGGATCCATGCGCAAAGTGCAAGGAATTAATCACCAGCATGCAGGGTTCTATGGTGCTGGTTACAAAACGCGGATCTATACTTTAGTGAATCTTGGGAGGAACATGGATTCAGACGACTCGAGTGCTTGGATTAGCAGGTCACCACCCTGACCAAAACCCCGCCTTTGCTTTGAATACATAAATTTTCGCTCTTTGCTGTTTCCCAAGTAGTTTGACGACCAATCCGTTGGATTGAAATTCTGCGTGACAAGTATGACCAGTACAACTGTAAGTGGCTATTGCCTGTTCCTAGCTCAATGCCATCCAGTCTAACAGAAACTAACCCTCTAGATCCCTGAGAAGTCCCTGAGGGCTGGACTACGGACCCCAGGTGGTTGCCGGAGGACGTGGATGGGGTTGATGGATATTGGATAAAGTGCTGCGGTCTTGAAAACCCTGTCGCTCTCTTGCACACCACTCCGGAATCTGGAGATGTCGAGTGTTTATTTACGGCTGGTGGACGATACTACTTCATGGTGTATATCGTGGCTTCGCTTATTTTCTAGGCACAGTATAGATTCAAATTCCGGATCTCGCGCAGCATAGCCTCCAGTCACTATCCACATGGACAAAGAAACGATAATTCAGTGAGTTATATTAACATGTCTTACATCTAAGTTACGGGACCCAAGCCGGATAGATCACGTCCACCCGACGTCCGGATGTAACCATACGCATAGCAAGCGCCATGATACGTCCAACCAACACTACTACCTCGGTGACCAGGTACCACGGACGATAAACACATGGTCCGAGCTAGCAAGCTAGGTAGCTCCTTAGCATGATCATAATTATAGAAAACACGAGGGTCTAGTGGATCCGCCCTACCGGGTATACATGGTTCCCCAGGCTTCTAATAGGCCAGTCACAGGATCAGCACAGCCCTACTCCGCGGTTGGTAGTCTTGGTACGTCTTGGCTGCCAAGGAGATGCAGGCGCAGTTAAGATTCAATAGGTAACTATTAACTAACTAGGACAGGGTTATTAGTTAACGCCCAGCGGAAGGTAAGCACACGGCCGGCGCAACTAAGTTAGCGGGCTTAGACGAGCAGACAAAGCCAGCAACCTTCCTTGCCTTGCATTAATTCCATCTTGGTGACTTCCAACATCGTCGGCCGTTGTTCGGCGGCTCAAAGGAATGCAATCTGCGCCTTGCGCTTGATGCCCTAATTTTGGATTTTTGGTTCGTTGGGTATGGAAGCTTCCGCTTCGATCATACGGAGATTCTCGCTTGGAGGCAGGGTCTCGCTGTCAGGAAGATGGAAATCTCCACTTCTCATACAGACACCGGAATCTTCCACAGATATAAATATAGCTAGATCCTCGCCGGGAGATTCAATTCATCTTGCCATCAGCCATCGCAATCACGGTCTTTCACACGATCTTGATCTCCAATCCACAATCCAAGGAATATTCCTCTCCTCGTTATCATTTCCCACCTCTTTCAATATCTTCCTTAACCATCAAACCAAACCCAAGACTTGTTCACGATGTTGTTCCGCACTTCCCTCCTCTGCATAGCAGCCAGCCTCGTTTGCGCTCCTCTCGCGGCGGCGCTACCCACCGAAGCTCGCTCCGACATGACCCTCACTCCTCGCGACGGCACTCAGTGCGCAGCAGGCACTAAATTCTACGTCTGTTCCCTGAACGACTTCCGAGGCTGCTGCTCCGTGGACCCCTGCGCCCTAAAAGAAGGCTGTCCGGACAACAAGAACGGCGACAACAAGCCCAAGAAGCCCGGAAACAACCCTCCCATCAACGCCTGCCCTGCGCCCAACACCGACAGCAAGCCCAAGCCCGATATATCCTCCCCCCCTCCCAAAGAAGCCCCCTCGTGTCCTCCCCCCGGCAAAAAGGCCAAAATCTTCCAACCGCACACGGAAACCCTCCTCGAGGGCAGCTCCCCAATCCCAACCTCAAACTTGAACGTCAGCAAGACCTCCACGACCGACCAGCAACAGACGATCCATTGGACGCTGCCCGCGAACGCAAAAGCCTGCGTGATTGGGTGGAGCATTCCCGAGCAAGAGAAACGCAAGAACTTCCAGGCGGGAAGTAAATCATCAGTGAATGTGTATGCGGGCGCCGACAAGAACAACAACAAGAAGCTTGGGGACGGAAACTTTGCCTTCTGGCCCGAGAAACCTGCCGCGCGCACTAACCTCGTCGCGGTGGTTGAGTGCAAGGAAGACATGCTGTTCCGGTTGCAGATGGCGCATGAGGATGCTAGTGTGTTTTTGGAGCAGAATGCGGAGACTGGGTGGTGGGTTGAGTATGAATGTTAAAGAATCGACTCCGGTATGGGATATTGTGTGTCTTTTGCTTTGAGAGGTGGGAAGACTGACTGACTTTGTGAGGGGTTGTGGTAATTTGCTAATTGATGAGACTATGCGGAGGATAGTTATCTGTTTACACTCCTTTAGACCTGTTTTTGTTTTTGTTTTAGTGTGGGTGATGAGCGGTAATTTGATAATTGATCGGAGAATGGGGATGTTAGATACGCTCATTTAGACATGCTTTTGGATAGGATAGGTAGACTGATAAATAAAACGATGTATGGCTCGGAATATTCATCCAGATGTAGATTATAGAGCGTGTCTTATTTACTTCATTTAGAAAGGATCTTGGCTATAAGCCTAATGATCCATCTCGGGGCCAAATCTAACCGCGTCAGAACTATGATCAGGGCGAGAATGCAAGGGGAAAGACGGATAGCACCGTCCTGGGTGCATCTGAATTAATACGTGTAGAAAGGAAGATACCAGAACAAGGTGAATTTCAAGGCAAGAAGGGATTCAATAACATAATCCATTCTCATCCTCAAAATCCTCAGAAAAATAAGACATTATCTTAGATACATCATATGGGTATAAACGAAACCAAGAAAACAGTGAGCCATCCAAGCACATTACAGCGCATCCAATAAGATCCGATCCGGTCACAATTAGAAGAAAAAGGAAAGTAGAAAAGAAAAGACAAAAAGAGTGAAATAGTGACCGGATCTACGCCCAGGATCAGTCTCATCTACCGATCCTCCTCTCGCATCGCACCCATATCCCCAAGCTCGACGTCCGGGTCCCTCGACGCAGCAGTCTGCGACGAACCCGCCGACTCACGTCGACTCTTGATGAACTTGGGCCACGTATTCGTCAGTACCAGATACTTGATACTGTCCTCCGCGGCGTCAAAGACGGTCGCATCGAACTTATCCGGCACATCGCCCCAATACTGGACACGATCGCCGATGATTGAGACCGAGCAGCGGAAGGCCTTCTGCGAGGATTCAGTCGCCGTCGGGGATGGTGGTGGCTCGAAGGACCCGAAGCCCGGAGGCGGGCCGAAGGGCGTCGCGGGGTCGACTTTTTGCTGGTGCTCGCCGTACATGATACGGGCGGGCTCCTCGAAGATGGCGTCGAGTTTACGCAGATCCTGGGACGAAATGTTCACGGGAAATTCGGCGTGGTGGACGCTGATGAATTTGGCGTAGATATGTAGGGCGCGGTTGAATCGCTCGTGGACGAGTTCTTTGTCCTTGTCCTGACCGGCGGGAGAGGAATCGAATGGGGTGAGGTAGTCGAGGGTGCCGTTCTTGTTTGACGCCGGAGGGGAGGGTTTAGGGAGGGAGCCCTTCCATTCGGCGACGCTGGTGAGGAAGGCAATGTTCTCGCCGGAAAAGTCGTGAAGGGCGGAGAATTGTTGCAGGGGCGTCGGGTTGCGCGACAGCACGTATTCAAGCGCGCCCATGGTCAGGATACTGTCGCGGTTGCTGGAGGCCGTCGAGACGGAGCCGTGGGAGGATTTCCAGCCGGACAGCATCGAGTCGACCACAGTAGAGATGGAGCTGAGGGATTTGGCCTCGGAGCCGGTGCCTTTGGTCTTAGCCTCCCATTGTGCGATGGCGTCGAGGGTTTCTTTGCGAAGGGATTGGTGTCGCAGAACCTCCCAGCAGGGGAGGAAGACGGTGAAGATTTCGATGAAGACGATGGACAGACAGATCCTGCGGACGTTAGTGGGGGTTTTGCGACGGAGTGCGGATACATACCATTGCGGAGGAATCCAAACCGCGTTGACTGGTGCCATACCGTCGACGTAGAGACCGATGAGCCACATGGGAGTAGCGTGGAGACTGGACAGGTTAGAAGAAGTTGGAATAAGTCAGGCATTGTTCTCACCTGGAGAGACAGCATCCGATCGTTTGGACTCGCCAGCCCTGGGTATCGTGGATGTGGCGAGACTTCCAAAGAAGGTAGGGGGCCAAAACCCAGGCCCAAACAAACTGGTAAACCACACTCGGCCACCTGAACAGGTTAATTTTAATCCGTATACAAAGGCTTAGCACCAAGGGTCCTTACCACTCCCATCCTCGACCCTGCTCAGTGGACTGCTCCATCGGAGTCCCGTGAACCTCGGTACCCGGAATTCCCCAAGACGCGTGCCACTTGCGAGAGATAATATACATCAAGACAAGAAGGAATATCTAAAGAGATTGTCAGCTGGGAGTCAAGTCCAAAAATCAATATCCAATCCCTACCTGCACAAACACCGAAATTCCAACAACAATCAACGACCGAGTGGTATAGTCGAGGCTGTAAAACTTTCCCAGCAATCCCTTCTTTCCCTTGCCCTTCTCCAACTCCGGAGGAGAATCAACACTCTGCCGACTGTCATGGTCGGCATACTTCTTCTGCAATTTGGCCACATGCAGGAAACGACTGTTCGCGGCGTGAAACAACCCAATGCCGGCAGGAAGATAAGTGCCCATAACCCAGAACTGGACGTCACCGGGCATCAGGGGCCCGATCATGACGCCAAACTGGCAGCAGCCCCAGTATAGATGTAATAAGACGATAGCAGATAAGGAAAGACCGATACCTCGGATTCGGAGAACAGGCGAGTCACGATTGACGATGAGATAGGCCATGCCTAGCGAGACGGCGACGGTCCAGATAGCTGCCCAAGCAGCCCACCAGATGGCCACAGGGGTGTAGACAGCCTGGGGCTTCGAGTCGGGGGTGATGCCGAGTTCGGACCCCATGGTGACTCGTTGTTTCTGCGACCCGACGGTGGCACAGAATTAAATGAGAGTGAGTAAAGTTGGATAAAAACGGTCAAGTCAACTTAAGGAAGGACGACTCCGAGCCATTTAAGAAAAAAAAAAGAAAAAAACGGCCAGTGAAAAAGGACCCAAAAAAAAAGAACAAGCTGACAGCGCGACGGCGGCGGTTTGGGGTGCCAGAAGCCCACTTAATACTAACGCACGCAAAAACTGCCCGGCCAGCACATTTGCCAATTTCCCGTGTAGATCTGGACGAAGCAAAGAAATCATAAACATCCATAGTCGCGGCGAAGACCCGTCGGACGGTGGGTCGGCCATACCGAAGCGAGGCAAGCGGGCAGGCAATTAGAAATCTCTCTCGGCAAGTAATCTCGATCATCGTAAACTATCGATTCATGATCAGGGATCGGCGGCGCTGAACGTGGTAAGGTGGACCGTGCTAGTAAACCTTGCCAGCCGATGCCACGGGCTGTGATTTTCGGGTCTGAGTAGGAAGCATCATACCAGGATCTGAAGCCAAAGGACGGATCACCGTGTGGCATGGCTACTACCCTATCTAGAAATTCGGGATGGTTCTGCTGGAACCACGCGATCTATGGCGAGCTGAAAAATCTAGCATGGTCTCCGAGGTGCCCCCGATGGATTCTTATCTTTCGTCACCTTTGCCAATTCAAGCCCGTGAGTCGCTCATATTCCGAATGTTAGTGTCGGCCAGGCGGCCACAGTCCACAGTCCACACAAACGCCAGTCAGATGCAATTTCCGAGGAATGTCCAGAAATTAACTGGTCCATTGTAATTCATGAGGGCCCTGACTCCCCAGCATAAGCGAGAGCGTAGAGTAAGCCGTCTGACATGTGCCATCTGCAAGTTCAATCCGGACTACGCCGTAGCGACAGCACGATCCGACGCGACCGAGGATAGTGACCAGCAAGTCACAGCAAGGCCTTACATGCGTACCTGCATCGCAAATTCTCCGAATCCACCATCCAAACGGCACATAACGTTTTCACTCTAACAGTGCACCGCCAGGGTGGTACTTGGGAAGGGGTGCGATTTTTTTCTTTCGCGTGGTCCTGTGGAATCATGTGTGGATAAGGGTACCACCTACCAGGAGCAGTACCCACGCCATGAATAACAGTTACCGCGGGAGAACAAAGAAATGCCAGGATGCAAGTCATGACTCCACAGAGCTCAATTCCCGTCCGATCGATAGCTCTGCGACTGTTGGCAATGGCGGCGTGGCAGGCCCTGGAAATGGGAACTGCCCAGCCAGGGCTACCCGGCCTAATCAAGGTAGGGCAGAGCATCTTGCCTACAAAGGCGAAGTTATCGAGCCAGGACGGCTTACGAGAGAGGGATCGATCGACGGGTGCTAAATCGGATCGTGCGAATATCGTGCGACCGGACAGAGCTCGGATAGGTAGGACGATGGGCGATGAGCATCCTGCAAGGGACACTGCAGGAACCGATTCAGAACAGGCACAAGAAGTCAAAAGTCAATAAGGCCATTTCTTCATCCCCGCAAATTTAGGGAGCAGCCGGTCTCAACTCCATTCTCAAGACGAAAGCAAACTCAAAATCCAGGCGAATTGGCTTTTGGCCCGCTCAACGCCGATAATAAAGTTAGTGGGAGGATGGATGGACCCGACCAAGTTTGAGTCTATTCTGGTTGTTGTTAATGCCTGAATCATCAGGCAGTTAACTCTTAGCGGACTGGAAGGACCTTTCTCCGAATGCTGCCCGATCCCTCAGGCCACACTGACACGTGCCGTGCCAGCGTAAAGCGGCGCACGGCCCGTCCGCATGCGGTCATCGCTGCCTACATCCTCAGGCCTCACTGTCAATTCTACCGAGGTTCAGCGGACGATGAGGCATTTTGCTGCGCATTCCAGACTGCCAGACCCCACCATGGCGGGGGAGAGCTCAGAGGTCTGAAAGTAGCTTAAATGGGATCTGCTGGACCTCTGTCTGTCTTGTCTCCTCGATTTTGAGTCCGAAACTCTCTCAATTCTTGGTTCCCCGTCCGTCTCTTCCGTCTCTCTTGTTTACTTCCGCAGGTCAAATTCACTGCCACTTATCAATACCAATTGCTTCATCGATTGACCTCTCCGACTTCTCCAATCCTCTCTCTCTATACAAGTAACAACCATGCCTCCCATTGCTCTCGAAGACCCTCCCACTACCACCACCAATACAACCCCCAAAGAAACCCCTCCCACGCACCCCAA